CATTGTTTATCCGAGAATCGAATATTCATGATTTATTCTCAAACCGTTCGAAATTTTTTAATTTAATTTCATTAAAGAAAATTGATAGATATTATGAATAGAAATAGTAATAATATAATTCAAATAATTTCAAGTAAATAAGTAAACATGTTCGGAATTTATATGAATTTTAAGTTTTATATCTACATATCTTTGACACGTAATATGTTGAGAATTTTGTTTATGATTGAAACACAAACATATATATCATATCGTCAGAAATTTTCGACAAATTATTCTATGAAATAATTAATCTTTCTTCTTTGTTCGAAGAACGAACATAAAATTTCGTGTAAAAATATGTATTGCATCATACAAAAAACCTAGGAAAGAAAAAATTTTATATATATTTATGTTTTTTTTTCTCATTGACGTAATTGATAAAAAAGAGCTATCAAAACAAGGAAAATAAAAAAATCATAGATTCTTGTTTCTATGTGCTTTTGATATATTCACAATATAATAAACAGCATTATCGCCTATGATTAAAAAACACTTCGTGTTATGAACTTTCATATATAAACTTTTTTGCGAAACTATCTCTATACAAATAGGAAATTCTAAGAATAAAAAATCAGCAACATGTGATTTTATCATTTTCGCGCGTGTTTGAACTCTATTTATTCTAGTCTTAACGAAAGTATATAAATATCAATAAAATTCTTTTTTTTAATCAATTATATTCAATGAAAATAATAAATGCAACACAATAAATTATATTGTTAACGTTATAATTAAATGAATTAAATTAAAGATCTTAATGATATAATTGTGAAAAATAAAAGAATATAATATAATAAAATATAATAATAATAAAATATATACTCTCAATGAAAAAAGAGTAACGTTTCGTGTGCAAGAGCATTGAAGAAGTCAGGAAGAGAACATAAAGAGCATTCTCGCTAACAGAAGCACTCTTTCTTTTCAATGCGATCATTTTATATTGCATGCATATAGCTAGTGACTTTTAACTACCGAATCGCATTTAAAGAAATGCCAACTTCTCAATTTATGGTGTGTTTGATATACTAGAATTACGATAATAGAAATAATTTTTTGTAATATCTTTTATCAGAAATCTATATATTATTATCTTATCAAAAACAGGCAATTAATCGTTTTTAAAGATATAGTTTAATTAATATTTTCTTATGTATTAATCAATTATGAAAAGAAACAAAACAAAATAAAATACATAAAGTAAAAATAAAACATAAAAAATATTTTAAAATTAAAAAATCACTTTTCTCTTTTTTTGTTCATTTATATACATTTATTTTAATCATCATTAATAAATTCATCGTATTATCATTCATTTTGCTATTAGATCAATAGGCACATATATATATA